AAGAGAAAAAAAAAAAAAAAAAAAAAAAAAAACTATCTTTACTGAAAACTGTTTTTCTATTTATTATAGATCGAGCTTCTAAGGAAAAAGGTCCACTACAAGGACTTGCTTATTCAACAACTGCTGGAAAGGATAGCACTTTTGGAAGGAGAGGTTTGTTAATATGTTTAAATCCCATTAATAATAATAATAAATAAATGAGGTACACTACTTCCTATATATTAGTAAAGCAGGTCACAATGAAGAATTTGTGATCTAGCTGAAGATGACTTCACTTGCAGACCAATAGCAGACATTTGTAGCTTCCAATCTGTCACATCAATGAGCGTTTTTATGGTCAATTTGCTTTCAATAAGTTTAAGCCTTCCATACACTGCTCAAATTTCAGTAAACTGCTGCTGAAACGGCCTAAATTCAAGCTGTTGATGGCTCTGTTGGCACCACCAGTTTCAGAATTGAAGGAGCCAGGTGGAAAATTGTTGGCCAAACAGTGACTGCATCTAATCAGATATATTCACTGTTCTGGTATTTAGGAAGCTGTAGGTGCCAGCTGTCTGCATACATTAGCCAATGGTGCAGATTTCTCCATCCATGGTGTTTAGTGTAGATGGGGGAATAAAGTGGTTTCCCATGTTCAGCCTGTGGGGCTGAACAAGAAAAATCTACATGTTTATGGCTAGCCTTAGGCTTAATGGTGTTTTCTTGCCATAACTACTCCAGTTTTGGGCCCATTATCTAACATTCGCAGCATTGTTGTAATGTGTGACAAGAATAAGCTGCCTTTATTTGACTTAATTTCTCTACGACTCCCTTTCCTAATTGTAGCTACACAAGCCAATTATTGTGGCAGATTAGACTGCTTCAGAATGCATTGCCAATAATGACCTATTTATAGGATAAAAGTGATTAACGTTATAAAGCATTGTCGAGTTTTCCGGTTTCTGATTTTACTTTGTATATTTTAGTATTAATCCGGCTAAAGTAGTGTGACTAGTATAATTGCAAACAAAACCTTGCATGCAGAAAGGCATATTTATTACTTTGTATGGATAACATGAACAAGTGAATGCAGGTCTAAAACTGTTTTGATGTGAGCAATTGTACAATTCTGTTTAGAATAATGAATTACAAGACAAGATGGAATACTTAATGGCAAATCAGCCAAAGGAAACACCAGAGACGAAAGATGCTGAGACATCCTGTGATCTCCAACAGAGGTACATAATAAGAATTTGTTTTCTGTAGTGGTAGACAATGGTTGTTAAGAAATCTGTGACCTACAGTTCACAAATGAGCGGTGGCCACTGCTGGCTAGTCTATCCATTATCCTGGTAACTAGGACAACCATGACGGGACCAAACAATGTTTGTACAATATTGTAAGCCCTACCTGTCCTTTTAAACCAGATCCTGCTATTGGAAAGCAGGAGGAAGTAATGGAGGTCGAAGCACCATGTCCAGCTGAAGGCCCAGGTTAGTGGGCATCTGCACAGGGTGCTATCCCAAAACTCCAACTGTATCCTTATTTAAGCATCGGGGCAACCTTGTGACCCGAGTATGTGGGGTAGTGTGCATCAGAGCCATGGAAGATTTCAAATGGATGTATGATTGGTAATCTGCAGTGCCAAAGAAACAAACAAATACAAAAAACTGCACTTTTGAGAGAATGACTAAAACTCCCTAAAGTTGGCAATACACCTTTGTCTGTTTCCTGTTAAATCTGCAAAAATTGGATCCATGGGGGCCCTGCTGGCACCACCTGACTTGACAAAAGTCAATTTTTTCAATCAATTTTAGTCAAAGAAGCCGTGTGGGAAATTGTTGGCTGACCAGTGACTTCAGCCAATCAGTCATGGTCTTGGTATTTTGACAGCTGCATGGACCTGATATCAAAATATAATATCCCACAGTGTAAATTCCATCATTCACTGAAAATAAAGTTTTGGCTTTAGACTTTGATTGCAAAGTTTATTTCCTTGTAGCTCTCACTCTTACCTAGTTGCAGATTAATTCAGATCCAACAAAAAGATCTCTAAATATGACTTGAACTACAAACCACCCAGTACTTATTTACAAGAAGCATATCAGAAATGCTTGCTTGTCAGTAACAATCCATCCAGGTATATTTATCTTGAGGTGTTGTCCCATGAGTCACATTAATTGTTCCAGAAGTCATGACTGCTGGTAGCTAGTGACTGCATACATGTTTAACCTGAACAACATGTAGAGTGTGCAGTGTATATCATGTTGTCATACATCCTCACATTTTTAAAGAAACTGGGCTTGTCAGCTTTTGAAATCTTCTAAGACTTGTTTTCCTTTGCATTGTATTCCTGTACATACTGATATGCCTTGCTTGTTACAAACCTCTTAAATGCCTAATAAATAGGTGTGAAATACCAGACATTGTTTCATAATTTTCTTTTTATGGTCAGTGAAGCGTTTTTGTAGAAAACAGGAAGGGGCCTGAACATCTAGAAATACACTAAAACAACTGTGCAGCCAAAAGAAAATACACTATATTTTATAAATGGTGTACTTTTTGTTATGGACACAGTTGGCTTTACCTTTTACTGTATTTGCATATTGTACATAAAACTAAAACCCGAAGGTTTTAGAACTTCTATGTGTTTTGGATTCCAGAACCTGTTTTAGAGTTTCCTTGGTGGACTGAATATTTGAAATTCTATTGGAAAAAGAGGTACTTGGCAGGCAGTACTGGCCCCTGACTTGAGTCTTCTAAACAATTGATCTAATTTGTGTATGCATTCAATAGATAAGTACACATGAGAGTGGTCAGGAGGCATTGCAGCTGCCTGAACATAATCCACAGTGTTTGGCCTATGGTCAGACTAGGGACACCTATTTGGTATGTGGCACCCTCCTGACCTCCAGGAGCATGTGGGGGACTTCAGAGGCAGGGTGGGCTGACATTCCACCTCTGGTTGTAGCATGTGAATGTAAAGTTGGGTGCCAGTTACTTTAACGATTTTTTTAGAGGTTTTATTCTAAAAGCAACTCAGTGGGACAGAGGGTGAAGGGCTACTGACATCTAGGACAGTACTGAGCTCTCCTGACTCACCGACCACTTCCCAGCTTCACAGGGTAGAGGGCAGTAACGATGTGTATTGAAGAACCTTTTCTGGTTAGTAGACATAGCACAGAATTCCCTAGGCAAAATCAGACTTCCTGCGAGATTAAAGACCAATTCTGGCACCTTTAGCAGACAAAGTTCCTCCCTGTTCCTCATCCCAGGAACAGATTCGGACCTGGACTGGGTGTATACCTGATAACCTGCAGCCTACAGGCCTGGTCAGACAGCACCTTTCCCAGGCAAGTGGCCCAGGGGGAAAGAGACACTCGCAGGGTCAGCACTGAATATTTAAGTCCTTCCCCAGCATGCACCATTGGCCATGAACCTCTTAGTGATTGGCTAGGGACACACATATTTATCCACACATAACTCCCCATTATTGGATGTTATGCTGTATTGCAAGGTCACACCCAGCAGCAGGCATATACAGAGTGCTTAGGAGAAACTAATGAGCACAGACTTACAATCCAGCAGAACTCAATGTAAGGAGCCACCACGCTTAGGAGAAGGTGGCTTCATTGTACATAGCTCCAGAGCACATAGAGTGAACCCCAACCCCAACAATATGAGCACCAGATGCTCTTCTACAGCTGAGTGCCTCTGTAAGTCCAACCTCAGTCAAGCTATCAGATTGTGTGGGGAACTAAAGGATCAATTTTATGACGTGGTGTTTATATGGCCACATTTACACCATGTTGTTCAATTATCAAACACATTTTACCCTGGTAACTCTTAAGTGATACCAGGACAATAGGTAGTTCTCTTTTCTATATGTATATTACCTTAATCTTTTTTTTTTTTAACCTGTTGTTAAACTGAGTTTTGCCTACCTGTTCCATAATATGAAACCAGACAGGTTGCTACTGGCAACAGCTGGCAACCGCTCCACTCTTTTCCACATTTTCTATGGTGGTGATTGAATCAGCCCTTTAAGCTTTTAACTAGTTTAGGACAACTCAATAAAATGACAGTAATATTCTATATTTGTAAAGTAATGGTAATCACTTGTACCCTGTTGAAAACCTGATTGTGAAATACATTTGTATTCTCTTTTCTTTAGTGTACCCGTGAATATACCAACAACTCCAGTCACTTCAGAGTAAGTTTATTTATTTTTTAAGAAATAAATATAGAAAGAAATAAATACATTATAAAAGCAGACTTCTTTTTATTTGACATCAGGTTTGCACACTTTGCTAAATAAAACAAAATTGGAGGAGAAGAAGGATCAGACCTCAGCATGGTTTGTGGTCTGAGAGAATAAACCTGTACCCATAGATAAGGGAGATACATATTGTATTTTAAAGAAATCCACATTTTTTCCCCCTGTAGCTGGCTAGCTAAAGCATGGATCTGACTGCATTGCAGAGCATAAAGCTTTAAAAGAAAAAATAGATTGTGGGTCAGAGATTATCAAGTCATCTACTAAAGAAGTAACATGATTGTATTAAGTAAAATAGCAATAGAAGAGGATATTGTTAAAAATAAAAATCACAGCATTGAATAAAACCATTCTCACAGCTTCCTCTCAGAATGATCATAAAACAGTTTGACATAATTGAGTATATACCGTAGTTGACAAAGACATCATATCCAGGACAACACCCCCCCACACTTGGATCCAGGGACGTGCGGTCAGGGGAGGCAGGTGAGGCTGAGCCTCACCTAGAATCATGAAGAGAAAAAGGTGTCAGCTTCAAGTCTGAAGTCTTTTTCTCCATTCAGAGGAAATCCTCTGATGGGCGTAATGGTGCTGACAGCGGCACCCAAACAGCAAATTTCAGACGGCTCTTGATGACATTCAAAGTGTGTTTAGCCTACTTTAGATACACTGCACAACTATTGTAACAGGAAATTGGAGGTAAGACTATTAAAATGGAGACTGTTAGTACAATGTTTATCTGAATGCATATCTATTTCTGCGACTTCGATTGGGCATTATGCTCTCTCTGCTTTGACTATCTGATTGGTTTAACTGCTATGCTTTAGGCTAGTTTTTTTTTTATCTACCCGCTATCTTTTATGTACGCTTTATATCTGGCAAAAACAACACAGCGCAAAAATGTAACCGTCCAAAATGTATCTTCATTGTAGACACGTAACCCTGTTAAAAATTGTGTTATCCATTCAGATTTTTATTTCTTTCGTTTTTCGGATGCGATTTGATTCGGTTCGTTATTCGGATTAAATTTTTTTTTCAAAACAAAGTCACATGACCGTGACTGTAAAGCAACCCCCAAAACAACAGCCCCCCAAAAAATCCTGATTGGCCAGAGTTCAGTCACAGGTCTGAATTAGTCCCATTTTGAACAAAATTCAGATGGATCCAAATTTTCATTAAAGGAGCATGGATTCATTTGCATTTGTTACAAAATCCTTTCAAAAATCCTTCCTTTCAAAAGAGACAAAATGCGTACGAATGTCTCTTTTGAAAGGAAGCAAAATTGACATGCCTACTTCATTGTATTAAACACAATCATACAGTGACTGTAGAATACAAAACAATGTATTGTTTCTTATTTGCCATACTTAGCAAGTATTGGACAGATTATGCTATTAGGTTCACTGTGTTTTTATTGTATGTTTGTTTTTTTTTGTTTGCAAAAATAATAAAAACACAATTAAATAGGAAAAACATTATTCTAATTGTTAATTATTCTTCCTGTACAGTGTATCCATGAATGCACCAGCAAGTCCAAGCACTCCAGAGTAAGTTTATTTAGATTTTTTTCTTTAAAAATAAAAAATGTGTTGCTATATAATGTCTGTAATTCTCATATGAAGAAGCCTGTATAGTTGATTTAAAGTGACATTAAACCCTCAGATTTTTTAACATAAAACAATACTGTAATGTGTGCCTTACTGTAATCCATGGTTGTTTCCCTTCTCTTTGCTGCTCTTCATTTTAAATCTGTATCTGTTCTCATGCTGGACAGAACTTCTATTTTGCAGCAGACTGCCTTGTCTCTGAAATGGATACATGGTGTCTGTGTGTAGGTTTGCAACCTGAGCCAGCACTACGGGAAGAGGCACTCATCTGCAAAGGGAAGTTCTCCCCCAGCATGAGAAGAGATACAGATTTAAAAGGAAGAGCAGCAAAGAGAAGGGAAACTACCATGGATTACAGTAAGGCACACATTACAGTATTGGTTTATGTTAAAAAATCTGAGGGTTTAATGTCACTTTAACTGAAGAGCATTATGTATTTTCAGTAAGCGCACATTTTAAGATTTTATTATTACATTTTACTGTTTTAAGTGATCAGACTTGTGCTGTGAGAATGGGCATTAAAGCTCAACCAGAGTGTAGCACTGCAAACCATAAGCAGAGTTTGTTTACTTAATGAGCATGTATGGCTGTCACTATGTGCATACAGTATATAAATAGACATTGAAATAGGGTTTCTAAAATATTATCTGTTATTTATATTTATTATTGATAAGATTTTTACATGAAGCTATGGTCTTACAAGTTTATCTAAAAGAAATGAAAATCCTGTACATTTCTTTTTACGAAAAGGATAAATATAAAAAAAAAAAAGGATATTTATAGTAAGAGAACAAAGTAAAAATCAAACAAAAATAATTCCTGTAGTGGAACATAAATGGGATTTGTATATTCAGTAAATTCTACTACTAACCTGATACTGTATAACAAGACTGCTTGTGTAAAGAGCACTGTAGTGCAAAAGTACAGTAAGCAGTAATAACAATATCAGTACAATTTGTGCCCAGGGGCAATCATGCACGGGTAATTGCAGCACATGAACAGCTGCGGATGCTGGTAGATGTCATTGCTGTGAACAGTGCTTCCCAACCACAACTGTTCACATGAGTCTCACGGAGCAATTCAGGGGACTCATGCAAATCCCGTGTAGCACGAAACCGGCCCGGAAATAGTGCAAGCGCAATAATCCGGCGGATTCCGCACGTTCACAGATTTAAAAGCATTAGTGTTTTTGTCCCACACATTCTTCCCTACGGAAAACAGTGCGGAAACTGCAAACACTATGCGTGAATGCAGCCTGAGCCTGTTAAAGGAAGTGGAATGTTAGATCTACTGGCTGGATCAACAAGTAATAAAATGATGGTATGGAGGGACTCAGGAAACTCTATACTAATGTTATTGACTTTTTGTCCATCGTTCCACTGCAAGACAGATGTGAGGGATGAACCTTGTTTGAATGCTGAGGGGTTATTGCATAACCCCCTTTATCATAGTGAAAGAGCCTATTATGTACAGTCCAATTAATTTAATCTATTTTGTGTAACTTTGTTTGGTTGCTATTATGTTCAAAGCACCCCTGTCACAACTGCGCACATGATAAAAAATATGCATAAGCAGAGCTCAACTTTAACAATGCAATGTTACAAGGATGAGTATCATCGGACAGACAGGCAGCTGACCCCAGCTTTTCCTGTAAAACTATAAATGCAAAAATGTCAGCCAAAACAATGAACGTCTTTTTTGGCTGCATTTTACCCTGGTATACTCCATATACACCATTCAGGGTTTTTTTTTATATCTGTTCCAAAACTGCAATAAAAAACCTTTTGGTCTTGAAAGAAATTTAGAGTTTTTCTCCATTCTGTGCACAGTTCCTGTGTTATATTAAGAAACCTGATCAGTCCTCCTAGTTCTTATCTTGAGCTACAGAACAATTTGTCCCTATGCTAGGGGGATTATTTGGAGGGGAGGGATTCAGTCGTTTAGTAAAATGAGTAGACAGGGATGACACAAATTTTTTAAATTCTATGTGTTGTCAGTCCACAACATTAAACTAAGGAGCTGAGTGCATTTTTGGCAGATCAAAAGGTTTTTTTTCTGAACTTGCAGGGTCTTTCTCTTTTTTATTTTGACCTGACATATACTTTAATGTAATGAGCACCCTCACTGACTAACAGGAAGACATGAAAGACAAGAGGGGACAGAGACAAGTTTTATTGTTATTAGTGAGTCAAGACTTGCATAGAAGTTCGGAATCCTATAGCTGTAGATCCACTGATCTCATATCTTTGCTTATGCAATTTTTTATTGTACGTTCCTTCTGAATGGCCCATTTTGTGTCAGGTTTGCATGAAAGAATATGACTACATTTTCATCTACTTAAGGCCCTTTGCACAGATCCCCTGCTGATCTGAGCAGCATGGAGCGGATGCCACTGTTGTGACATCTGTGACTGTCCAGTTTTCTCCTCGATCTTTCGATGGAGAAAATACCTGAGATTATGGGACCCACGTTAGGATTATGGGGAGTCAGACATGCGTCCATTTATATCAGATTACCCCGATCCGTCACACTCAGGCCCACTAAAATGGAAATCTGTTTCCTTTTGTTTCCTGTGGGCTTCTGATCAGATTCACCTGAAAGGGGCCTTATTAAAATATGCTTATGCTTTTATATTTCCCTTGTATTTGGTTTAATAATTAGAAGATGTGTAAAAAACTTTCCATTTTCCCTGACTTTTCATCATTTCACCAAAAGGCTAGCATGGCTGCTATTCGAATTCATAACTTTGCATAACTTCTTTGTTTTATTATCTTTTAACTATAAAACCTTTTCTGTTCTGGGATGCACAGGTTAACCTTGACTTACTTATATCTTTTTTTCAGCTTTCAAGTAACATAACTCTTTCCTTTTCAGTGCTTTGCTGCCTGCCCTTCCAAGGGGTGATAATACTAATAATACAGTATTTAGGGAAACTGCTAAGCTGGTGGAGGACCATGAACAGCTGTGGGCACATTCTGCTTGAAAGCTAGGTTCTTCTAACATGCATATATGTAGGCATAGTGAGGAACAGGATCCCCAAGTCCTGAATTTGTACATACACTCTACAGGGAGTTGATATAAAAGCACTATTTATTTTATATATACATCGTTTTGGCATTTTTATATTTATCATTGCAGTAGTAGTTTTAAGAGTTAGTAATTTTACAATTTTTATATGAACAAATTTAATAACTGAAATAAGCTAAGATAGAACTTATATTTATAATATAATGCTTCTGGTAGCGAAAAGAAACTTACATAAGGTAAGTCCATTTTGAACTTGAGCCTTCCAGAGGATTGTTTATATTTATTTATTTTATTTTTGTTCAGCAAAGGAAACCTCATTTGGCTTTGTAAAATACAGAATTGCTCAAGACGGACCAATTATGGGATAGAGAATCTAAGTCCGATGAACTATGTAAGAGGAGGATTCACCAAGGCTTGTGGGTAACCAATATCTAGTAATAAGGATCTGACAGTCTATTTATTTATTTTTAATAGGATTAATGGTTGCAAAGAAAATGGCATAGAAGCTAATGGAAAACCACCTTATCAGAGGTCATACACCCCTTACATGAGAGTCTTGCAACTGAGTATGAGGAACAAGGTGTCTTAAACTGAAGATATCTGAAGAGGAAACATAACTTTGCTTCTGCTAATTTATACTTTCAAAGACTGCTATGATGAAAAAGCCAAAGAGTTGTTTGAAAAAGACTAAAGAACATTTAAGTTTATGGCCGATGCAGATATGTCAGGCAAGAAAATGCTTTATATTTAAAGGATAAGTACAATTTCAGGTCACATGCCATGTTGAAATAGTTAAACATGCATAGCAAAATAGCAAATGTAATGCAGCACTTCTATGGCACTTACTATTCTACACTGCTAGGCTTGCACAGGGCTGTCAACTGGCATTGTTTCCATCAGCTCTGCACGGTGGGAAAGACAAAGGGCGAAGTCTGTATCAGGCTGGCCACTATTTACTATTAATCAGCCTGAAACAGACTCCACCATCAATCTTCCTTTCCACTGTGGCTGTAAGCCACTTGTGACAGAAATCAGAGCCAAATCAAACATTGCATCAGCCTTGTGCAGGCCCAGCAGCGTTGAGTAATAGCACTGTATTACACCATTACATTTACCATTTTGCTGTGAATTACCTATTTGAAGCTTAACATTTGGCCTGGCACTGTACTTACTAAAGGCTGTCATTTTTGTATTTGCCAAATTCAACAAGATATAAGCCAAAATGGTGTTAAAGACTGGCCAGCTTAATTTACCTGCTGCTTCAGCAAGGGCTGCCACTTTTGTAGCCTTCTCTTTATCCTATTACCAGTGTTGTCTTCAGCTCCAATTTTTGGCAACCAGGCTGATAATATACTGGTTGGAAGGCAACCCTAGCTTCACCTATGGCTTGGTGACATTTATACTTTTTTGTTGCTGCACTTCACTGCGTGGCTTTAAGATACACCTCTGTCAACAGTTTAACATTTTCTTCATTGTAAATAAAATGCACTGCATTGTATTATAACTGTGAACAAAATCTATTCCTGTACTTCTGCAAGTTTATTCTGCTAAACAAGGTTTAAGGAGTCCAGTTTGGTGGAATACTGGCTTAGCACTGTTAATACAATAATGAGCACCAATTCAGTTATTTCCCTTCATAAAAAGGAAAGTTTGGTCTAGAAATGTTTTTGAGACACAAACAAACATGAATATTTCTGTTACATCTGTTAAAATACATTAGAAATGTTAAAGGGGGATTTTATATTATTAACAGCTACTTGCAGGCCTGCAAAGATGAATGTAGCACATCTCCTACCCATCCAGTAGATTAATAGTCTCAATACAGAAACTCCATACATGGAGAGACTTTCAATGACCGCCATAGTTATTATAGGTGATTTGGACATCCTCCACAGAAAGGACATTACTCAAAATATTCATTGTGTGGAATACAAACATCAATGGTCAATCAATCAAGAATCACTGGTAGGGCAAGATACTGGTCCATGCATGCTACTGGCCAGGCAGCAGGGCCTTGTACAAAGCCCACCAGACATTGTAAACTGCATAATCCGGGCCAGTCTTGTGGTGTTTATCATGGTGCGTCCAGCTTGGAAGGACAGGCTTTGACTATTAGTGGATTACCAAAACACACCATATTATGAGTGCTTCATCTATAATCAGTGTCATAAACATTGCGCTGTATTATACTCTAACTAAGGAATGGAAAAGATGACTTTTGTACATCACTATTGACTGTTTTTTTGTTCATGTGTTTGTCTCAGACCTGCTTTTTCCCTATAGGAGTCAATAGAAATGCAAAGTGTCATGAAGCATCTTCATTCAGCTTAGAATTAGGTCAGAAGCAGGTCAAAAGGAGGTGAGACGCAGGTCAGGCGAAGGTCAGAGGGAGGTCCTTCTCTCTCAGAAGCATCTCTGCAGGAGTTTAGAAGGAGCTCTGGAACATGATACATTGATTATAAATCCAACCTGAATGTACCTGAAAGCATGATGCATGTACCCATCTAACCTCTCCCCCCCTACCCCCCTGCATATCCTAACATAAGTTATATGAGAGCAAATACTTGTTCTGCATTGCAAAGCCTGCTCTACCATGTATACTGCCATGATCTTTCAACTGCTCTCTTTTCAATTTTATCACAGCTGACTACAAAGCTGATTCAATAGAGAGGGATTGATGATGTTATCAATATAGTGTTCAGTTCCTATGTGGCAGGTTTTTTTTTTTTTTTTTTTTTTTTTTTTCCCTATCCATAAGGTGACCATTCCATTGCTGATATTTCATCCATCCTTGCTGATAAACTGTAGATGATGTGAGATAACCTGGCTCTACCCACTACTGCCTCATAGACTGCAATGGGGAGCTCACCTGACATACAATGAACAGTGGATGTGCATGTTGACTGATGGACGGATTGTCTACAGTGCTGATCATTTATTTCTAAAAGATGAAATCCTTCTGTGTGTAGCCATCTATAGATAAGAATTTCAGTGATGTATATTTTGTATGAACGAAAGTGTATGTAATATGCACAGAGCCACAGATATTGGCTAAGCTGAATATTCTTGGCTGATTCCCCATTGTTGCACATATAGGGATAAATCCATCTTAGCCATTTATAGCCAACGCTTCTCATTTACAATATGTTCACTATCATCAAATGTCTCAGGCCAGCTCATAGTTACCCATAGACATTAAATGGTCTTTATAAAGTTAGATTTAACTCTGGCCAGTCCATTTCAGTAGAAGGCAACTGCTCAGGTGAATGTTCCAATGGTGGCATCAGAGTTATCGGCTTAATTCATAACCATCCAAGACTTGCAATATAAGCATGTTTGTTAATGTTTAAAACATGTTCAGTAGTTGGACTATTTGTGTATGTTCACATGTTCATGGCAAAGTTAAAGTCATTTGATGACAGTCAGGCGTGCTTATGGAAAAACGTTACCATTGCTGGCTCTCATTATTACTGGAGTGAAGTTTACATCTTAGGCCTCATGCACACTAGTCGGGTCTGTTTAAGCACGAGAGGTTATCTGGTAAGTATAAGCAACTTTATGCTTCCCAGATCACTTTTTCCTGTGCTGGGCTTAGTTGTGTTTTATATGCGTTTTATACATGTTTACACGTGTTTAGATGCGATAACCGGGCATACGGACCCGGGATACAACGTTTTTAGTTTGGGTAAACTAAGCTAGACTGAATAAATCTAGGTGCTGCTGGGCGTTCACTCATAGAAAAGCATTACATAAGCCCAGATGCATTTAGAAATGAGCTCCAAACACACCCTTTATGAACGTAGTGTGCATGAGACCTTAAAGTGTATCTAAACCCAAAAACAAAAATGTGATATATTGAAGATGACCAGTCCTTGGATGGTAAACAGAAGTGCAGTACTTATAATGGGAGACAGTACAGTTACAATACAATTCAATATAAGAGGGTCAATAGGGCCCTGCTCATAAGAGCTTACAATCTAAAATTGTTCTTTCTTTAGGCTTTTTTCTTTCACTTGGTGATCCTGTGAATTACACACTTTTTTGTTTCTTCATGGCTACTCTCACTTCTCCACTGTATCACTAGAGGGAACCATGATTGTCACACAGCCTGGACTTCAAACATGCCTGCCTTTGTAAATTAGTTGATGGGATTAGTAGTTTACACACGAACGATAAGATTGTTTATGCTTCCAGTTCATCTCACAGGAAGTGACAAGAACACTGCATTTCCGATTAGCAGGTATTTTCTGTGCTTGAGAAAAAATAATGTGGCCACCACATATTAGGACTGATAAGCTGCAATATATTATATTTTTTGTTTAGATTCACTGTAATTGTTATTATACATAAAGTATTTTGTTATGCCCCTTAAAAGTGCATGTCCAAGAATGATGACTTTTGCACTGCATTGTATGGAGCAGCGTTTTATATTATTGTTGCTTTTGGTTTATATTGCTTTATTCCAAGTTGATGAGAATTCAATGGGAACCCAGGTGCATCTCATACATATTGGATATAAGCCATTTCTTCTGTGAAAGCTTGCTTGCTGTATTTGACTTGCTCCTGAGGCTGCTGCTCCTGTACACTAACCCTCAGCCAAAACATGGAAGAAAATGTCTAATTGGCTTTGACTGCTCAGGTAAAATGAAAACCTTTGTACACTTCTTGTAAATAAACCTAAATGTGCTTATTATTCAAAGAATATCATCTATTTCCAATAAATTATGGCATTATAATATGTTTATGATGTACCGTTTTATAAAAAAAGCTATATCAATAAGACATATAGGGGGAATTTATCAAAACTGGAGCAGACAGAATCTGGACAGTTGCCCATAATGACCAATCAGCTTCTCTCTTCAGTTTGTTCAGTTAAGCTTTGAAAATGGAAAATGGAAGATAGAAGCTGATTGGTTACTGTGCACAGCTGCTCCAGATTCTATCTGCTCCAGTTTTGATAAATTCCCCTCATGTTTTCCGTGGGTGCATGTGTGAGGTGTTCCCAAAATTCCTACAAAAGGTCTTTTAGCCATTCTAAAAATCTATATCTTCCATATACTGTATGTAGACTTACAAGTAGTGATTGTGTGTGTGTGTGTATATATATATATATACAATGTATAGAAAACACTAGTGGGGTGTATGATAAATCTGATGCATCAGTGTAAGTTCATGTATGAAAAAAATAATTTGTATGTATTTAAGGAAAAAACATAAAATACAAGTTGATTTATATAAAGAACTTGATATATATATATAAAAACAGATTTCATTGCACACGAAATTGGAACTCAGGTCATCTGCTCTACAAGATGTGTAGTTTTAAATAGATCCTTCTTTCCAGGTATTCTGACTTATCTTATATGTATTAAAGTGACATGAAACCCTCAGATTTTTTAACATAAAACAATACTGTAATGTGTGCCTTACTGTAATCCATGGTAGTTTCCCTTCTCTTTGCTGCTCTTCCTTTTTAAATCTGTATGTCTTCTCATGCTCTGCAGTACTTCTGTTTTGCAGCAGACTGCCTTGTCTCAGGAATGGATACACGGTGTCTGTGT